AACATTTTCTGTCAATTATCTTTATGGATATGTTCAAACGACTGTTAGATAATATGTGGTATGTTTAAAACGTTAATTTTATATATTATAATCAATTTTTCAGATGAAATTAGAACAGGAACATATAGAGAACTCTTTCATCCAACATCATTGCTCACTGGTAAGGAGGACGCTGCCAGCAATTTTGCACGTGGATACTTTAGTATCGGTCGAGAAATGATCGATGTGGCGCTTAATCGTATAAGAACTGTGGTGGAAGATTGCAATTCCCTCCAAGGGTTTATTATATTTCGATCTTTTGGTGGAGGTACTGGATCTGGATTCACTGCCCTTTTATTGGAAGGTTTAGTAAGAGATTATGGAAAACTTACAAAAATAGAGTTCGCTGTGTATCCAGCCCCAAGAATCTCGCCCATTATTGTCGAACCGTATAATGCGGTTTTGACAACGCATGCATGCATGGACACTGAAGATGTATGTTTTATTTTTGATAATGAGGCTTTATATGATATTTTGGCAAGATCATTAGATGTTCCAAGGCCCACTTATACAAATTTAAATAGGCTTATTGCTCAGGTGATACAGTTATATATGACTGCATAATTACATTACATTACGGAATAAAAACAAAATCAAATTTCATTTCAGGTCGTATCGTGCATGACCGCTTCGATGAGATTTGAAGGATCTCTAAACGTGGAATTAGTAGAATTTCGGACAAATCTTATTCCGTATCCTCGAATACACTTTCCTCTGGTAACGTTTGCACCATTCGTGCCAGTGTCCCGAGCCATGCACGAGGCCATGTCCACGCAGCAACTTATGATGTCCTGCTTCGAACCGTCAAATCAAATGGTTAAGTGCGATCCTAGACAAGGAAGCTACATGTCTTGTTGCTTGCTCTTCAGAGGCGACATAAACCAAAACGACATTAATGCGTCTATAAATCAAATAAAAAACATGAGGACTATCAAATTTGTTTCATGGTCACCAACAGGATTTAAGGTAAAGTACATCCATTCATTCGTACATTACAGCCTATTTTAAGTCTAATGAATATGCCTCCAAGAATCCTCCCTATTTTGACAGGCTGTACACTTTCGTTATAAAAGCATTCTCACAAGATCTTCTTCATTCATTAGCCTACAACAGTCATCTGTCAAACATGAGTCTCTTCACTTTTAGGGAGCGTTAATTATCACGTTTAGTAGGCGGAATAAACATCGCAATACCAAACGTCTCGCAACTTTGATACTTCTGCTGGTCGCCAGTCTGAGTACTTTAGGTCGAGAATAAACGAGGTGGTTATAGCACCGCCATCTATCGAAAGCCATACCATTTTTCTGACATTTTCAATTCTTGCCTCTTACGACACCTAAGGGACTCAAGACCTTTGTACCTCTTTATTTTTGTCTATTACTTTAGGCGAACGTATTACTGAAGAATTCAGCACCATACCTTAATTATTAGTTACTTTTCCTGAAAACGCTTAAATGTATCCATTATTTCACACACACAAGGATTCTGAATTTTTAAGCTTTTAGTATAAAAAATTAGTAAGTACTTAATCAAAAACCCAAAGACTGTAATTTTTTTATAGGATAGGGTGAGAAACGAGTACACAGTCCACCTGATGGTAAGTGGTTGCTGTGGCCCATAGACATCTACATCTATCCTCGTTTTCGAATTAAAATACAGATGCGTTGTCACCCGTGAGGACTAAGATCGAATGCCTCTTTTCCAGTAAAAAGGGTCTCCGGTTCTCTACACTCTATACGAAACACAGCAGTGTTAAGCTGCTATTTTACGCTGGTATTCTGTGAGAGCGTGGTCCTTCCCCGGTCGAGCCGACCCATTCGTGCTACAACTATACTACTAATATAGCTGCAGCATGGCTCTACCACGTACAAAATAATTTATATTTAAGAAAAAAAATAACGCCTAATGTATATACATAAGTAATTTTTGAGGACATAAGTATCAGTATTCAATCGTATTCGTATCCCTTTGATAAAATTAACCGTTATATTACAGATTGGTATGAATTATCAACCACCGGCAACAGTTCCTGGAGGTGATTTAGCAGCGCTACAAAGGGCTGTTGTAATGGTATCGAACTCTTCAGCAATTCGCATCGCCTGGGAGCGATTGTGCAAAAAGTTTTCATTGATGTATTCTAAGCGAGCTTTTGTTCATCATTATGTTGGCGAAGGCATGGAGGAAGGGGAATTTACCAGTGCTCTACAAAACGTAAAAGCATTATCAAATGACTACAAAGAAATGGAAACAGAATACTGATTATTCGTAATTAAAAAAAAACTTTTAGTTTCATTTACTTACCCACATTTGCCGGCACAATTTAGAAAAAAATTAAATTATATTATATTTGTTATTAAGGATAATCCTAAAGAGCGTCATTTAAGATTAATTGATTTAGTTTAAAAGTAAAATAATATAATTAATAATATAAAATAATGAGAATTTCTCCCTCACGATGGAGTGACGATCTGATTAGTGATGCAGGTGGCACAGGACCGTACTTTTCAGGCATTTCTAGGGGGAGGTCTATATATGTTCAACAGTGGACCAGTAAAGATGATGAATGATGAACCTGCACAAACATATTACAGTCAATATGTACAGGTTCAATATGCTAAGGTACTCTGTAATATAATAATATTTCTTGCCTAGTTCATGTATACGACATAAAGATTTTATAAATAAGATATAAGCACCTTTGCATATATTGCCACATAAAATCAAAATCTTAAGTTATCTGCATCCATCTCCTCCATGCATGCCTTATGCGTCCGTCACTCCATCCACTGCAGTCGTTACCACGTACTGTACTGTCACCCAGAGGGGTAGGCAGAGACTACGGACTGCCAATATGCATGATCCTGATATACTTCTCTCGCTTCTTTCATATCACAATACATGATCAATGGTTAAAGGTACTCTTATTCGCCCATCTTCAATATATTTTAATAAAGATTTTATTTTATTAATTCTCTTCAGAAGTGTCAGAGAAGTCAGAATTTTTCGCAAAAGGCACGTATCCAATAACAATGCAGTGTTACTCTCTACTTTAATGTATGGTAGCGAAAGTTGGTACTATACCCGGTAGAAGCATGAGAGTAAAAATAATGCTATAGAAATATTGTTATTAAGAAATATGTTAGGGCTGATCCTGAATGATAGGGTGAGAAATTGTGCTTAGGCCTTGAGCCGTGGCAGCTTAGGTACAAAGCACTCGCTGTAAATTTCTCATTACGCAAACAACCCGGATTTGATCTCCGCCTGCAACAATGAAATTTTTAATTGCAATTTAAGTGCTGATTTACCACGTGCTCGGCGGTGAAGAAAAAGTTTCGTAAGCGAAACCTGCATGTCTGAGAAATTATAACAAAATTTATATTGAAATTGTTGTGTGAAAGTGGAAAAAAATGTATATTAACATGTCCGCCAACAGGTGAAATAAAGCCTCTCAGTATTGAAAGAAGGCATGTGCCCACGAGTGGGACGTATTGTAAGAGATATTGTGACTAGGATTTGGATGATTTAGATACATAGAAAGAATGAATGAGGAAATAATGACAAAGCAAAATGTTGCAGAAGTGAGTGGCAGAGTCCGCAAAGAATGCCCTAGACCTAGACGAAAATTTATTGACCAAATTGCTGGTACGGCATGGCGTAATATATATGGCGTAATACCCATGCATACGAGCATGTATGCATGGGTATGTATGTGAGAAGTGAGAGAGGTGTATCAGGATCGTGTCATATGGTAGTCCTGCCTTTTTTTTATAGGATAAGGGTGACAAACGAGCACACAGTCCACCTGATGGTAAGTGGTTGCTGCGGCCCATAGACATCTACATCTATCCTCTGTTACAAATCAAAATGTAGATGCGTTGTCACCCGTGAGGACTAAGATGGAATGCCTCATTTCCAGTAAAAAGGGCCTCCGGCCACCTGCACTCACCAAGCGAAACGCAGAGGTAAACCTCTACTTCACGCTGGTTTTCTGTGAGGTCGTGGTACTACCCCGGTTCGAGCCGGCCCATCCGTGCGACAGCAAAAGCTGCCGCGTGGCTCTACCACTGTTAAGAGAGACTGCCTACCTACTACTCTCCGCTTAACAAGCGCGAGAGTTTGTAATGTTCATGTTAAGCAATAAATTTGTTCTTCTTTTCTTAATGGTCTTGTCATATAGGCCGGCGGCGGTTTGCTGCTTCTATTTTATCGTTTAAATAATAGTTTAAAGTGGATTTTGATACGTAAAAATTGTGCATTTTAAATGTCTGCACATGTGAACGATTAGTGGAAACGATGTTACTAGTGCTTTGGTAGTGATATAAATTTCAGGTTTTTTCCGCTTAGGAGCCTTAAGTTATTATCGCAATGAACTGGCTGCTGTGTTATAAGCTGTTGTCGAAATCTCCTAAGAACTACGCAAGCATACTGTGAAGAGTTTTATGAATAAAATACAAATCTGTCTAGGCTGTGTGGTTTAAGACCATTGCTTGACTTAACTGACGAATCGTTACAACAAAAATAAGAAATATGACATTATTGACAGTTGACACTTGACTCATATGGTTGACATTGACAGATTTAATTTGACGTTGATTGATTGTTTATCATGGTTTATCTAACGAAATCATAGATACCTAAATATTATTTAGCAAGCTAATCGAAATCGTACTCGCATTTCGCACCTTGTAAAATAATATTTAGTTTATATTTCTAATTTTTAATTAAATAAGAAAACAAATAGTTTTAATAACACACTATATTTTCTAAAAATTACTATACCGTAAATTTCTCTAAGTTTAGTTAAGTAAGTAATAATATAAGTATTTAAGTATCGGGTTAATTTTTGTGCTTACTTACTCAGATTTTTTTAGATAAAGAAAAACCTCATTTTAACCATTTTAGTCTTAAATTTTTAATATAGAATTTATTTATTGTTTTCAGATTTCTTATAAGGTTGTGCAATGTGGAGTATAGCAAAATTATGTCGCGTTTCATATCCAATCCGATCAGTATCAAACAAGATAATTCATAACGCTGGACCCCAGATAATAAGGAAGGAGCTTCTAACCCCTGCACACTGTACAAGAATTGGTTTGAGAAATAAAAATAGCTTAAGGGTGAGTTATAAGCTTCCTTGTCTTGGTGCCTAGAACAAGTTTTTAAAAAGTTAAAAAATAATTTGATATTAAAAATTTTGTACAACTGACTTCAATATAAATTATTTAAAATTACTCAAATACTATTGGTCAGACCTTGACCAAATTTATATGGGACCACATGAGAAGCACCAGCTTTCAAATGAAAAAAGAATCATCGAAATTGGTTCACCCAGAAAAAAGTTATGAAGTTTTTTCTGGGTGAACCAACCACACACAAAAAAAAAAACAGTTGAATACCGTCTCCTGTTTGAAGTCAGTAGAAAACTTATTCTATATGTATAAGATAAGATGAATAGATAGAAGGTGTTATCACAATTTTTGAAGAAGTGTTTGAATTTCTTTACCATTTATGCCTCTATAAATATGACTTAACTAGTCTAAACATAAAAGCCTATCCATTCTTGCCTTAAAAACACCAAGTTTTTAATTATATGGAAAGACAGGGGCCAGCAAATTATTCAACTCTGCTGTATGCACAATAAAAGATGAAGTGCATGGTGTGGTTTCATTTTTATCTTTTTTATTTTACAACAACAAAAATATACAAGGTTTATAAGTACAGTGCAGCATAAACCTATATAAGATTTTTCTGCAGTTCGCCGTCCTTCAAGTGTAAATATTTAATATTATTTTGAGTAAGAAGGTAGTTCGTTCGCTTCTATAACAATAACATAAAGATGAGTTGTCGTGAAGATTTGGTTAGAGTCGTATACAGGTTATCCGGAGGAAAAATTATTTTATATTTTTCAAATATAAACAGTAATTAAATTACAACTAGTATACATATAAAATAGTATATAGTATTCGTTTTTAGTTATATTATGTTAGTTGATTCATAAAGTACGTTTTTAATTTGTGTTTAATATTTTTAGGATTGATATCTTCCTTTAAGGTTTTAGGTAGTTTATTAATTAATTTAGGAATAATAATCATATTTTGATGATCTCCATACATATTTTATGTTTTAGCTATAATGAATTTAGGGTTATATACACTTCTAAGCTGGTTTTTATACTAATTACATGGAATATTGACAACAAAAGACTGAAGATCTGCCAATCGTTCTTTTGTCTGATGGAAGAAAGAGGAGGGAGGAATTAAATCATGTAATCCCTGCACACATTGAATTAGTAAAGATATTACAACTGTGGACTTACATTACAATAATTTGTGCCTTAGTATATTTGTGTACATGCATTATACATTACTTGTTTGTGAAAGCTTTTATTTCCGGCCGTTATATTCATCAAAATAATTTCTAATTTAACATTTAAATTAAATTAAAGTTATAGTAGAAATCAGAATTATTCTTAAATAAATTTTCAGATAAGTCAAGTGATCAAGTCAAATGGAATTGTTGCACGCTTCTGCTCAAGTGGACCAAAGCCAAAATCATCAAAGGCTGTCGGATACTGGCTGCTTGGTTGCAGTGGAATGGTGTTTACTGCTGTGGTGCTAGGTATGGTCACGGGTTATATGATCTTGCTATATAGTGTTTATTATATTATAAACGTTATTTTACGCAGTACTAATGGAAGTAAATGAAAAATAGTTTTATTTAAGGATATATTATATAAATACATCCCTCTTCTTGTATATATAATTTGAATTTCATATTCAAGCAATTTATCTGATAAACAACGTTATCATAAATTAGATTATTCATAATAGGGATTAGTTTGAAATTTATCAATTAAAATTTTCTTGTTTAAGTTCATTATTGCACTAAATATGGATTATTTGTGATATTTATTGAAGTATACTTTTGAAATAAGTTTATGTAGTGTGGCTAATCATTTAAAATATTAAGGAAATACTACACATGGAATAAAACTAATTTTACAGATTTTATCATGTTGTGTAATTTTAACCTTATCAATTCCTGACGTTTTGGTCACTTTACAGCACCCATGGTCATGGGAGGGACTGAGGTGTTGACGTCCTGATGTCATAGTTAATAAAGGCTTCAACTTTTAATTATTAATTTTTGGTCCGATTAACACAAGAACCCGGTGACCATAGGTGCTGTAAAGTGTGTGAAACGTCTGGAATCAAAAAAGTTAAAATTAAACACGATAAAATTAGTAAAATTGGTTTTGTTACAAAATGTTATAAGTTCCATAAAAAGTATTTTGAAGATGTAGGAAGTGTGTGTAGATTTTTAGTATCTGAACATTAACTCTTTCTTTTATTACAGCCTATTAAAATTCCACTGCTGATCATAGACATCCCCCATGGATTGTCTCAGGTAGGATATTTGCCATAGTTACCACACTTAGAAGTCTGTGGTAACTGCAGTTTTATTATTTTCAGTGGTTATCAAGAATATGACTGTCCATCTCATGTTTTATTTCCGTCTGTCACCTCATTAGACACCCATGGGATAGTAATGGATAGTAGATTATATTACGCCGCTACCAGTCTAACTACTGCTAATGTTCTTCTTAGGCTGTGCCGCTACACACAGCATGTACATATTATTATTATATAAAGATAACAAAATGCAATAAATGCATTAATATAGTTAATTCTAAGTTTGAAGTATTGTATACCAAATTAATACAGTTATATTATTTGATTTTAAGACTAGCTTAATTTATGAATTAACTAAAATACGAATTAATTCTTTTGTGTTTTATAATAAAAAATAAAGTGATTTGAAATTGCATTTTGTTTACTTTTATCAAATATAAAATAACCTATATTTTATATTTCTTCTGACTAAATTTTTTTCTTAAATATTAGATTAGAAATCCTGTATAAACCCGTCCCAAAGAAGTGGGTGGATAGCAGTTAAATATCAAAATAGAACTTCTTCCAGAAGAATGCCAAATCATCTCAAACTATATAAATGGAGAATAACAGCTATAAAAAAGAATTCAAGGAGCAGGAACGCCGTTTGCTCATACATACATACATATAATTACGCCTCTTTCCCGTAGGGGTAGGCAGAGACCACTTCTTTCAACTTGCTACGATCCTTACATACTTGTTTCCCTTCGTCCACTTTCATTATTCTCTTCATACATGCTCTACGGTTTAGGGTGCTCTTGACCTGGCCTTTTTTCAAGACGTCCCTGATTTGGTCTTGAAAAGTCCGCCTAGGTCTACCCTTTCCAACACTTTCATTCACACTCGCCTTATACACTTTTTTCGTCAATCGTTCTTCATTCATTCTCGACATGGCCAAACCATCTCAGCATACCTTTCTCAATTTTTGTCACTACATCTTCTTTCAATTACTTTCTTCTTTCTTTTGTTTGCTCTATCTGGATAATTTGGCTTCACATGTACCTGAAATATTTACTGTTACCTTACAACCTATCTATCTATAAGTTGACACACTTGGCAGGTGGATTGGCAACTGCAGTTATTTTAGCTGCTGTTAATAAGATACTGCTGCCCATCTGGTTTGTTTCCTTCTGTCGCCTTGTATGACACCCACAGGACAATATAGGGTAGTGGTGCATCTTAGTGTAATATTTTTATGTATAAAAATTACGTGTCACGTTGTTTGTCCGCGATGAACTCCCAAACTGCAAAACTGATTTCAATGAAATTTTGCACACTGTGTGCAGTTTAGTCTAACTTGAGAGATAGGATAGTTTTTATCCCGATAAGTGACCCCCAATATTTATTATTACGAATTCAAGATTTTTTTATAGGACAAAGGGTCGTCGAAGAGGGCAGTACAAAGTTTATCCGGCCAGCTAGTATATATATATATATATGGTCAACATAAAAAATTTTGTCTTAAAATACGCAATATAATACAAATCTATATAAATAAAATGATGGAGGTTTGCAGTTGTCCGCGCATCACAGATAAACTACTGGATAGATTTCAATTAGGTTTTCTAAGTTTATTAATTTAATTAATAAATAATTTGTCTTTGCGGCAACCACAGTGGTACAATATTTTCATGTGAAAGATAACATAGGGTTATAATCGGGCCAAGCAAATTTTACATTTAGGGGGTTATTATACCAATTATATTATACATAGATAAGAGAAAATCTAATTTATTATTGTAAGATTTTTGCATCGATAGGTGGGGTCACACGGTTGACTGAATCCGGATTATCTATGGTCACATGGAAGCTACTCGGTGAGAAAATGCCAACCACTGAAGAGGAATGGCAGCAAGAGTTTGCGAAATATCAACAGTATCCCGAGTATAAATAGTTAGTGCTAATATTAAAAAGAACAATGTACAAAGGCACTGCTTATTCCATGTTATATGTATTTATATTGTTGTGCGCCACTATTAATGTCTTGTACATGTCAACACTAGATACCACTAGCGACCTCTAGTATAGAGTAGCAGAACTCGAACTCGAACTCTACTCGAACATTCAAGATGTTTCTATAGTAGAAGGTTCTGGAAACTACCTGAGGCCCTATATAAGGCCGGCATTTATTGTCGTAACAGTATATATTGTTACGAGCTTGGGATTCGAGACAGTTAAAAACTGCCGATTGAATTACCAAAATTGACACTTTAATTACAGAATACAATTTACAACTTAAAACCACACTAATAATAAAACACAACTGTACTACTGATCTAAAGTAAGAGTTCGCAGTTATATCACTTCGAAGTCTTGTATCGCCAATTCAATACTGCCCCGGTCGCGGTCTATACCGGCCTTATATAGGGCCTCAGGTAGTTTCTAGAACATGCTACTATAGAAACTTCTAGAATGTTCGAGTACATGTCGGTCCCGATTGACTGTTTTTTTTTATAGGATAGGGTGACAAACGACCACACAGCCCACCTGATAGTAAGTGGTTACTGTAACCCATAGACATCTACATCTACTCGTATCATCAATAAAGACTCAAGATGCAGATGCGTTGTCACCCGTGAGGACTAAGATGGAATGCCTCTTTGCCAGTAAAAAAAGGTCTCCGGTTCTCTACACTCACCATACGAAACACAGGGTGGGTGTCGATAGTTCTAGAAAGTTCTTCCATGGATATCTCTAGAAGGATCTTGACTCTCCTAGTTCTACTACTCGATACTAGAGGGCGCTAGTGGTAACTTGTGTTGCCATGTACCTTCCATTAATTGTGGCTTTCAACAATATATACATCCAAACACTTATACATTTAACTGTGTAATAGTTATGAAGTGCAAGATAGTACACTATGATTTCTTGTGTTTACGCGAACACTACACATTTAATTAAAACTAGTTTTTACGTATATAGCTCGAAGAACCGACAACCGATGGGGAAGAAAGGTTCTTGAGTGGCAGCCTCGTACCGGTAGACAAAGTTTAAGGTGACCCCCCCCCCCCCCCCCACTGACGGAGTGACGACCTGGTAAGACATGCAGGAAGTCAATGGATGCAGGTGACTCAGGACTGTGCTTTGTGGCATTTCTTGCGGGAGGCCTATGTTCAGCAGTGGACTTGTGAAGGGCTATAATGAATGCAAGAGAGATCTAAGAGATAAAATCCGTAGAAGCTAGTTTTATTTAAATGTGTAGTGTTCGCGTAAACATAAGAAATCATTATAAAAAGAGAGGTGTTGACGTGCAGCAAGAACCAGCACATAACCCTGTCGGAGTTCAAGTGGATCTGGTGGATGGAGTTCGCGCACCGCACGTGGGGTCGCGCTATAGGCGCCGCAGTGTTTTTGCCAGCTGCCTTCTTCTGGGCAAGAGGATATCTGGACCGCGGCATGAAGATCCGAGTGGCAGTTTACTGCACCCTCGTAGCCGCACAGGTGACACTATAAATACTAATAACGTTTTTTTCATAGAATAAGGGTGACAAACGAGAACGCAGTCCACATGTTAGACTTTTATCTGGGGGGTAAAATAAAGAGTAGTGTCAAAGAAGCTCAAAGTTATGAAGACCACCACAGAAAAATTATTGCTACGTTCACAGAATTTAAAATTGCTCATGCACGGGTATAAGCAACTAACTCATATAAAAAAACGTGCTCGTCTATGCATAGAGAGAAACGGATTCTATTTTGAGGTAACAATATTAGTTATTAGGACTACTTGCGTAATTTGTTTGTAAATCGTTTATTCCAATTATTTAAATACGCCATAATAATGACAGTCATCGCTTACGTCGTTGATAATCAATTGAAAAAGCAAAAATAATAATTCTAGTCGTGTAGTTATTAACTTAAGCATTAGTAGTGAGCGTGACACTAAGAAAGTAAACAGTAGGCAATTCTCTAGAACTGACGTTACCCTTTTTACTGGATGGGAGGCATTCCATCTTATTCCTGGAGGATGGATTTAGATGTCTATGGGCCACAGCATCTACTTACCATCAGATGGACTGTGTGCTCATATGTTAGCCTTATTAAGTGGCGAAGCTTGCGAAGTCACTTATTGATTTCACGATGTCTGTCCGTCTGTCCGTTTGTCCCACGATTATCTCGAGAACGGTTTTTTTGAACCCAGGCATCTGAACCTCCTATTTTGAAACTGATTGCTCAACGACAACCGTTAGAAACCGCTACAAAGCTGATTGCTTCGCCACTTTGCTATGCTGTTAGCTTGCTAGGTTTATTATATAAAAAAAAAAAAACATTCTTCTTATTTACCACTGCTGAACTTGGGGCTCTTCCGTTTTTTCTGTATGAAAAATCAGTTCGTCTATAGTCTTAGGGACTACTATGCAAAATTTTGTGTCTAGATACCTTTCCAAATTTTTAGTGTCTTAGTTGACAACATCAGAGGACTGCTGAACTTCTTCGAAGATATTTTATGGCTCGAATAATCACAATATTCCTGCACACAAAAATAGCCCGTCGTAAACTAAAGTAAACTTAATTAGTGTCTTTAATAGTTTTCCAAAAATCGACATCAACTCTCGGACTATAAATCATTTAAAAATAGCTTTTCAAGTATAACTTTAAATTTTGAATTTTACAGGGCTTGATGGGCTGGTATATGGTGAAATCGGGCTTAGAGGACCGGTTCCAGGGCCCATCGGATGTACCTAGGGTATCTCAGTACAGATTAGCAGCGCATTTAAGTCTGGCTTTCATTCTGTACTCGGGTTTGATAGCCGGTGCTTTGCGGATACTTCGTCCCTTCCCGGTAGCAGCCACTTTCCAGAAAATCAAGGAGTTAAAGAGCGTAACAGCGCTTGCCCACACTGTGAAAGCGATGGCCTTCTTTACCGCTGTTTCAGGTTGGTGTTAAATGAATTAATGTTGAGGAGTTTATAACAAGAGTTTACATGGTAGAGCCACGCTGCAGCTATATTGTGGTTGTAGCACGAATGACTTGGTTCGACCGGAGTAGGACCACGTTCTCACAGAATACCAGCGTTAAATAGCAGCTTGTTGTTTCGTATAGTGAGTGTAGAGAACCAGAGTTAGTCCTCAGGGGTGACAACGCATCTGTATTTTGATTCTCCATTGAGTGTAGTAAAATACATAATAATATTAATAATAATATTTCGAAAATTAGGCATTCAGGAAATAAGAGTGGGCGATACAAATCGTATACAGACACAATATAAACATATTCAAAGTCGACGTCTACATCGCCAGGTGCATTCGTAGCCGGCCTTGACGCCGGGCTAGTGTACAACTCGTTCCCCAAAATGGGCGAGCAGTGGATCCCGGACGATATCCTGGCATTCAGCCCCACTGCCCGCAACTTCACGGAGAACCCCACCACGGTGCAGTTCGATCACCGGGTGCTGGGAACCTGTACCCTGGCGGCTGCCAGTGCTCTGTGGCTGGTGGCTCGTCGCCGTCCATTGGCACCGGCTGCCAGACGTGTTGCCAACGCCGTAGCTGCCATGGCCTGGCTGCAGGTAACACTGACATCTTTATTATTTGACATTAACTTTATTGATACCTACACAATCACAAAACCAATATCCTCTTAGTCGCCTTTTACAACAAGCTAGGCAAGTTACATGGGATCTATAAGTCACAGATCAACATGGGACTCTTTATACATGGTTATTTGCAAATATACGCCCAAATTTGCTGAAAAATTTCTGAATAAGTAATATAAACGAATGGTGCTGAAAAATTAATTAAATAAAAGCTCAAAAATTCTGTTCCTATTATCTTTTAAATTCAGAATGCGTGGTAATGCATTATTTTAACTGATGTCATTCATAAATATCTAACGCCCACTATTTTACTACGCACGCACACATTCGTAAGGGTCGCTCGGTCGGCAAAAACGTTGAATAGAATCGCGCACAGTGGAGCATGCGTACGTGTAGTTGTTGGCCATAAATCACATTAAATTTGAGATAATTTCAAATAAAAGTAGAAGCCTTATTTAAAACTGTAATAACGGTATATCAATCTTTATATATTTGAACTTAAATATAAAATTTGGATATTCTTTGAAAAATAACCCTGTATAACGCCTTAAATGTTACAGAAGTGCCATGTGACATTATCTGTTAGCCACTCCACAATAAATATTTCAGCAGTCACTGAAGACTGCCAACAGAAGTGAAAACTTAAAACTATGATCAGAGTCAAAAATTAAAATTTCTTAATTTGTACATTATTAACATTAGTTTTGTTTCATTAATATCGGTATTCATATCTATATGGAATCGGAGCAATTATATACATTTTTATATGGTTTATTTATTACACCAAACAGCAGGGGCTGCTCAAGGCCAGTACAAAATAATATGACAACTTTAATGTCAATTTATATATATTTATGTTATTTATACATAGTATTTGTATTTGCATAAATTTCATTGAAGTTCATGCAAAAAACTTACAGCTACAGATATACTGTTAACATAAGTATATCAGTAACCTTATATTTAAGAAAACGATTATGAGTTAAGTCTGAGATTATTTATGTAATTCAAAATTACAATGAAAAAAAAAACATTCTATAACATTAAGAATTTTACTAACGTACAATCAAAGACATTTAGATAGTAGTAATAATAGACCGGACATCAGTAGCAAAACTGTCGTCTGTAACTTATGTCCTATAGGATATATATCCGATTTTTGTCATTTAGTTTTAGTGACATCGTCAGAAATTCAAGACGCATTCGTTTCATTAAATTTTATATAATAATTTAAAAATTTTTTAAACTAAATATGCCCGGTTGTGCATTAAGATATTGAAGTCACGATATGGAGCAAAAAATGAATGTGATTTCGGTTTATTATCGTAAATATAACATATATTTACCGAATAATCTTTAATTTTTATTATTTCTAGTAGATTGTTCTATAGCATTTATTTTTATTGTAATAATCGCCCTCTGTTGTCCAGTAAACGTCACTATTTAGTTACCAATTTTAAAGTTAGTGATTGACGACGTTCATCGATTGGGATTATCGATAGAAAAATATACAGAATGCCGATTTAATCCTTTATAATATTTAAGGAGGTAAAACAGTCAACGATACTGTACCCATACCAACAAAAATGAGTAGAATATACCAACTATGCTAAGTACCCTATTTTATGTGGAGCAAGGCTGGGAAATTTTTTTTTAGGCGTGCTGATGACATTTTCAGTGTTGCTTATGAGCATGCTGAGGATACTTGGTGTGTTGATGTTAAGCAATACAGCAAGTCTTCTCTTTTACATACCAGGTTTCATTGTCTGGTGATTTTACACCGGGCTTCATTGTCTGGTGGTTTTCAAGGACAAAGCCATTATAGATTCTCGCTTACAGTGATAGGAGAGGGTAATAGATTTCTTACATTAAAAACAATTTGTACTGTTAAAGAAAGAAGAAAAAGCCTGAGTTAGAAAATAAGATAAAAACTTAAAATAACAATTTTTATTGACGTGGGTAGTATCTTTAGCGGTGTAGTGGCGGTTAAGAATATCCACTACCCCATATCTTCCCGTGGGTGTAGTAAAAGGCGATAAAGGGAAACAGGCAGAAGATGGGCAGCAGCATCTTCCTGATAACAACAAACTTACAATAAAAAAAACTGCGGTTGCCCACCCGTTCGCCAAGCGTGGCAACTATGGCAACTACCCCCCTATGATGAGAGTACCAAAGAAACGGCCCACAGTCCCCGGCGGCCCCGCTATTCCTGGCCACGGTGGCGACCATGGTAACGGCGGGGCAGGGGGTGCTAAGAATCTCCGGTGGAGCTTCGGTTGCCACTTAAGACGACTCGACCTGGCAACATACAACGCGCGCACCCTGAGGACTGGCGAGAAGATCGTGAAGCTGGAAGAAGAGATAGACAAGTTATGCTGGCATATTATAGGATTATCCGAAGTCCGAAGAAAGGAGGAGGACACGGTAATCCTCGAATCCGGCAACTTGCTCTATCACCGGGAGGGCGACCGTCTGTCCCAAGGAGGTGTCGGATTTATCGTCCACAAGTCACTCGTTAACAACGTTGTAAAGATTTACAGTGTGTCGACGAGGGTTGCGTACCTTATACTCAGAATCACCAAACGGTATTCGCTGAAGGTCATAGAGGTTTACGCACCAACCTCGGCACACCCCGATGAGGAGGTGGAGGAAATGTATGAGGATATCTCTAGAGCCATGCATTCCTCCAAAACCCAACATACGCTGTTAATGGGAGACTTCAATGCAAAACTAGGCACAAGAGAGAACGGTGAGCTGAAAGTAGGGAAAGTTGGAATAGGGCAACGGAACCCAAGGGGCCAGCAGCTGGCCGACTTCATGGAGAAAGAGGAACTCTTTATGATGAATTCTTTCTTCCAGAAGCGGCCCCACAGGAAGTGGACCTGGTCGAGCCCCGATGGTTCCACAAACAATGAGATTGACTTCATTAGGACGACCAGACGACAACTGTTCAGTTATGTCTACGTGATCGCGAGGGTGAAAACTGGTAACGATCACCGAATGGTTAGAGGCACACTGAACCTAAACGTTAAGTTGGAGAGCTCTCGTCTAATGAAGTCAACGCTCCGTCCCCCTCGTGCTCTGTTCCAAAGACCCGAAACCTTTCACATCGAGTTACAAAACCGTTTTCAGTGCCTAGAAGACTGCAACGAAGTGGATGATATAAATGACAAGCTCGTGGAAACTGTCCATGCAGTCGGAGCTAAGTTCTGCAAGACGCGCCGCAGAAGAACACAAAAACTCTCCGATCACACTCTCAATCTCATGGCTGTTAGACGGGAGATGAAGCTACATTCTTCAACAGATTTGACAGCATACAGGCAACTGAACAGACAGATCTCCCAATGCATGCGGCGGGACTTGCGTAACTTCAATACAGTTTGTAATGAAGAAGCGATCGAGGGGAACTAAGGCTCCAAAGTCCTTTGCCAGAGATCTGTCTGCCAGAAAGAGCCAACTGTCAAGGCTGACGACCGAGTGTGGCAGCATCATTTCCGGGACACCTGAGATTTTGAGTGAGATTGAGAGGTTCTATGGGCAGCTGTATACGTCATCGTTGGAGCCACACGCAAGTGTGAGTAACGATCCAAGAGCGAGTCTTATCCGACACTATTCCGAAGATATCCTGGACGTCAGTCTGAGCGAGATTAGAATGGCTCTCCAGCACCTTAAAAACGGCAAGGCCCCAGGCGAGGATGAAATTACAGTGAAGCTTCTGAAAGCGGGTGGAAGACCGGTACTTGAGGTCCTTCAGAAGCTCTTTAATTCCATCCTCAATGGTGGCATTACACCGGAGGCGTGGAGCAGAAGTGCGGTGGTCTTGTTCTTCAAGAAAGGTGACAACGCTCTCTTGAAGAACTACAGACCGATTTCCCTTCTGAGCCGCGTCTACGTGCTGTTTTCGAGAGTCATTACGAATCGTCTCGCGCGCAGACTTGACGACTTCCAGCCTCCCGAACAAGCCGGTTTGCGAAAAGACTTTAGCACCATAGACCACATACATACCCTTCGGCAAATTGTAGCGGTAAATTTGGGCGGTGCTGCAGTCTCTTCAGCGGTGCCAAGTTGACCGTCGGTATATCGAAGTGCTGATGTGATCTGAGACGTGGTCCTTCACTGCTGGCCGTATGAGGAAGCTCAAGGTCGCTCAGCGAGCTATGGAGAGGGCTATGCTCGGGGTTTCTCTGCGTGATAAACTTAGAAATGAGTATATCCGCAGTAGAACCAGAGTAACCGACATAGCCCAACGGATTAGTAAGCTGAAGTGGCAGTGGGCCGGCCATATAGCTCGAAGAACCGACAACCGATGAGGAAGAAAGGTTCTTGAGTGGCAGTCTCGTACCGGTAGGCGAAGTGTAGGGCGTCCCCCCACGAGATGGAGTGACGACCTGGTAAGACACGCAGGAAGTCGATGGATGCAGGTGGCTCAGGACCGTGCTTTGTGGCATTCCTTGGGGGAGGCCTATGTTCAGCAGTGAACTTATGAAAGGCTGCAATGATGATGATGATGATGATGGGTAGTGTCTTTAAGTACTGCAGCTGATGAAACTTGAAAAATCGTGAAACGGCTTTTAAGTTCAGTGTTTTCCTAAAATATTTTAGATTTGAAGTGTATTTTTGTAATAGAAACGAATTTAAAAACATAAAGGCGCTCTCTTATTGGATTTGGCGTTTCTCGATGTGTCTTTAACGCCGACCGATCAATCATATGCGTTTATTATAGCAGCTAATGTACCGAGTGACGTCATGCCACCAAGGTGGCAACCAAAGTGACTGCTGTTTCAATTGATTCTTGGTTATTGAAAATTAAGTTAATATGATTTTTTTAGTGTGATGGAAGTCATGATAAATAGATTTATACAATAAAACAATCATGTATATTCCCTATTATTACATCGAAAAGCATTTCAAACTTAGTAATCTTCAACAACATTATCGATACTTTGATATCGAAACGGTAACATTCCTAAAACGAGGTTATATTTATTAGCGTCACCTACTGGGGAATAGCTAAAATGTTGTCTTAATAAATGCTTAGCGTTGTTTTGCTATTTTTAGCTAGAGGGACACACGCACTAGCTAAAAGTTCTTGTATATAAATGTTCCCAATGTCCGCTCTATAGTATACCTATATATTTAAATCTCTTTGCGTACAATTTTTTTGCATGTTATGCATAACCAAAGCAAAACATTTTTTTATAGAATAAGAGTGACAAACTAGCACAGTCCACCTGATGGTAAATTAATGCTGCGGCCCATAGACATTTACATCTATCCTCGATTAAGAATCAATATGCAGATACGTTGATTATAAAAAGCTGCAGCATGGCTCTACCACGTTTAAACCTGTCTATTGTATAACGTTTGTAAAATAGTTTTATACGTGATAGAGCCATGCTGTCGGCGTGACCGGGGAAGGATCACACTCTCACAGAATACCAGTGTGAAATAGCAATTCAATGCTGCCGTGTTTTGTATGGTCAATGTAGAGAACCGGAGACCCTTTTTACTGGAAACGAGGCATTCTATCTGAGTACTCAGGGATGGCGGGCAATGCATCTCGCAAATTCGGCATTTTTGAGGATAGATGTAGATGTTGGCCCACAGTATCCACTTACCATCAGGTGGATTGTGTGCCTATTTTTCACCCTTATTCTATTAGAAATATATAGAGGTAATTAATACTTAATTTAAGAAAACAATTTATGAGCTAGACCGTAGATTAAATAATTCAAAATTACACGGAAGGCTAAAAAAAATAATTTCTATAGTATTAAGGATTTTATTAATCGCAACTAGTAATGTACAAAAACTTTTGCATGCTACTTATAACTGAAGCAAAACATGCAAAATCAAATCCTTTTTCATAGCATGTTTTATGTAAATGGTTACACCACCCCGCAGGTGGGCCTGGGCATATCGACGCTGCTGAGCTACGTGCCCACGCCGCTGGCCGCGAGCCACCAGTCTGGCTCCCTCGTGCTGCTGACCCTCGCCATCTGGCTCACACACGAGATCAAACTGCTCAAGTATATTCCCAAATAAACCGGTCCTGTACTAATAGACGGTTCCTCGAAAGATTTTCATGTAGCTTTTTTTATCAAAAACTTACATGGATGATATTAACTAGTGTCATTAAAGAAGCAAACTCAAAATGGCGGCGCTTATCATGTCCTAGCACATTATTGCTGTCTACACTTACAATGTGTGGACTGTAGACAAAAAATACATTCTTTATTTGCTTTGCTTAAATTTTTTTTAATTCTTGTTTCCGATTATTGCTATATAAGTTTTTTTTTGGATTCTTATTCATAAAATATAATCAATGGTATATAATATACTATGTTAAAAATACATATTTTTTGCTGAATTTACCTTCTTACAAGTCAAGTGCAATCCGCAATTATACATTTGTTTCTTAAATGGTTTTTATTATACACACAAAAATACAAGAAATTTTTATCCTCTTCAATCCACATGTAGATTCATATTTTTCCTCATGGATCATATTCAAAGATTGAACTGATAGATAAATAGTTGAACTGTAGTAAAGCGTTCTACAAATAAAGCATTTTTACTCGTTGATTTTAATGGTTTTAAATAATATCATTTTATTTTCTTACAATGATCCACACTGCTATACGAAGTGGCATTAACAATAACATTATTTGTATCCCGACATCGGTGGATCGAAATTGCATATAAGAAAATATTATTACACACACAGGTAGAATACAGGTACATTGAAGAGGAAAAAAGTTCACCTGTATTTACTGTGTAGTTTCGGGTTAGGAATATCCAATATCCCACATCATCCCGTAGGTCGTAAGAGGCGACAGAGGGAAACAAACCAGGGGATGGGCATCAACGTCTTCCTAATTACTACTAAAAAATTAAAAAATTGCGATTGCCACCCAGACTGCCAAGCTGGCAACTTTGGCTTTCTCCCCTATGAGGCAATCTAGGGGGGGGGGGGGGGGCTATGTTCAGCAGTTGACTTTAACAAGCTGTAGTAAAGGTAAAGGTAACGGTGATCCAGCTGTGAATCACGATTGTTGACCAAGTGAATGAAGCAAAATTTTCAAATGCAGTTGTATTATTATTATTGTTGTGACATTTGTGATATATAAGACTTACGTTGGTGTCCGTACCACGTGTTATTATATAGTATATTCCTTAGTAGATAGTTATATTCCTTACGTCTTACAGTTATAAGTAATATGACTATCAGATGGTGAACTTTAGCTTGATTATTACTTTCATTTAAAAAAATACACATTCTATTAAATCGTGGTATACAATGCACTATATCAGTCATAACATTTTAGTGATGAGGAACCTAATTCAACCTAATTGAATGAACTATTAACAAATTTTTGGCTTGCTATGGACCACCAACATTTAGGCATATTTAATTTTGTTCTATAAAAAGAACACAACTAAAATGAATGTGTGACATGATTATGCGCCCCGTTTTAACCGACTTCAGAAGGAGGTTCTCATTTAGAGTGTGTTTTTTTGTATATATGTTCCGATATCTTCGCAGATTGTGAATCGATTTAGATAATTCTTTTCTTATTAAATATGTTATACTTTAAAGTTGATCCCATATAAATTTGGAGAAAATATTTCACCCCTAAGGTTAGCAAATAAATAACTTCTTTTTTAACAATTTGAAGTCGGTTTTTACTTTTTGTTAAAAGTTATATTTATTTAATGTAAGGTCAATGTTGTAAGCTACCATTCGCTAACCGATCATGACCTAACATCTCCAAAAATTTTGTAAACTCTTTTATATTAAAAAAAAATATGATGCCTTGGCGAACCACTTTGGATCTCTTCGGGTACCACCAGTGGTCCACGGGCCACCGGTTAAGAACCATTGCAATATTATATTATAATTTGAAAATTTTTCGACTACTGTCTACTTGTCTTCTGTGCATTTCGAAACGGAATAATTCCAAATATAGCATTATTTAATTTCATATGTAATAGAAACTTGAGCTTTCCTTGTTTTGTGTTTTGTGTGTTGAAGATGACGACAGTATTGTACTTCAAAACTAGTTTTAAGTGTATTTTTTGTTAAAATGTTGTTATTAAAATAAATAGAACGATTCTTAAGTTTGTTTTATTATATTTTGGCGGTGTTTCACCCCTGCTGGGAAGCACGTAAAGCCGATGGTCCCGCGCATGATCTCTCTCCGGTCGTGTCGAATTACCGTCCCATCGGGCTATGAGAGTGAGGGAATAGAGAGTGTACCTGTGCTCGTGCATACACTCGGGCACTGTAATCCTGTCCTGCGCAGATGGCTAGTCTCAGTTGTGACTGGCCTCCATGACCGAAATTCGACCTGGAGGACATTTATAAAGAACCGACAACCGATGGGGAAGAAAAGTCTCTATCGGGTTGTCGTTTCGACAGAGGAGAAAGGCAGCCTCTTACTACCCAGCGCAGTGTAGGTCGAACTTTCCCAAGATGATGTGATAACCTGATGAAACCTCCAGATGCAGAATATCGATGTATACTTGGCTCTGGACCGTACTTTTGTGGCAATCTACGTGGGAGGTCTGTTTTTTCCTTCTTTCTTTAGTAATTGACTCGTACGGTTGGTACGGTGCTACATTTCGCTAGTGTCAAGTATTATGAAAGTTAGTCTTGTAGATCGCTCCGTACTAGTTCATTACGCACAGTGAAATAGTTCGTTCAATAGTTCTATTCGGTCATCCGTACAGTACTACTAAAATGAATGGAATGGTTATCTCAGTCTCAGTTGTTCGATATCTGCTCGAATCGTAATGAAGTATTGTCACTCATACACACACACACTTGATAATTTCTTGGTCAAAATAGAAGTCTAAAGCATATTAGTATTGAAAAAATAATTAACGTTAGTGAAATAAAATCCCATATCCATAACATGCGAAAATAAAAAGCATCTAAGTATGCAGTCAATATTAAAACAATAATAAAAGGCACAAAAAACACTCTACAATAATTGTTATAACATAACTTAAATTTTATTACATTATTACGCGATCGCAAGTGCCGAAACAAAGTCTAGCAAATGTTTGTATCTATTTATTAAGTATAATTATTACAATAATTTGTGAACACTGTGAGTCTGCCATCTTTTCAGGTGATAAGCTAAATTGGACGTTGTGCATAAATATACCTAACATGTATCTTTCTGTAACGTCTTATTACAACGACTTTAGTCAATGGTACCGATATAGGCATTCGTCAGCTCTTATCCCAATTACTACCGACTCTCTCGTTCGCTCGCTCTCGTACGCTCTCTTTCGCACGCGCGGTCTGGCGTCTTGCGAGTGTAGGTGTAAAAGAGCTATTAGACCGATTTACAGTCAGCGTTTGAAAACGTTTCTTCTAATACAGTGCTAAGATACGTTTCCTATTCGTTCATCGTTCGCGAACTACACTAGACTAATGAGTCCTTTTTTATTTTGACAATATGTTGATGGTCTATTTTTTTTATAGAATAAGGGTGACAAACGAGCACACAGTCTGCCTGATGTTAATTGTGGCCCATAGACATCTACATCTATCATCTATCCTCAATAAAGAGTTAATATGCAGATGTGTTGTCACCCTTGAAGACTAAGATGTAATGCCTCGTTTCCAGTAAAAAGGGTCTCCGGTTCTCTACACTCACCATACGAAACACAGCAGCGTTAAGCTGCTATTTTATGGTGGTATTCTGTGAGAGCGTGGTCCTTTCCCGGTCGTCGAGCCGACCCGTTCGTACTACAATTATAATATACCTGCAGCGTGACTATACTAAATGAATGTTCTGCTCTGAAATGAGCGAATGAAATAGATAATAAAGAAAACATTTGAAAGATAATCGTTATATGGACTAGAAATAAAACAAAGATATAAAATGTTATTCACAAAGTGTTTTATTTGAAAATTTTAAAATTCTAATATTGCTTACACACAGAAAACTACGCGTTTATATACAAGTATGCATTCGGCGAGTTACATAGCCACGTATGGAACCTTCCGCGTTGCAGACAACTGCCACTCGGGGTTTACCAAACAACCTGGGACCCCAAATCCCAACACATATAAAGGTATATCATAATCCAACATATATTAACAAATCCTTAATTTAAATATGAATTAAGTCGAATTACACTAAAGGCTATTTAAACAAATTTAAATGGATGTATATAGTATATATCTACATTATCTGTGATGGAATATACATATTTAAAATAAATTACCGGTTCCTATATTTAAAAAAAAAAACACTCCGTTCATCGAAATTTAGTAGTGCAGGACTAATTTAGATTATTTAATTTTATGGTTTTCGAACGATTAAATTGTAATATCGATTTTTTCCATGCAACGCGTATTTAAAATAAAATGAGGCGGAATCGGGAACGGAACGTTTCTTGAATATAAAAACCGGACAAAAAGTGAGATATATGAAAACAATGTTGAAATTTAATAAAGCTAAATTTCCTTAATAATGTGTATATCAGTGATGCTTTAGGTGTTTGGTGTCAGTCCGTATATCCATATTTTTATCAACTATCAACCCCCAGTTTGTACAATCACGTTCAAAATATACAACTCGGTACGTTAGCCACGCAGTGAATTAGTTTTTATTTGCTATCTATGTATGATTTGTTCCAGTACAATTTCTACGAAGATAAACAATGTTTAGCTACACTTAACTAAATATTTTATACAAAATATTTCTTTTCTTTCTTTTAGATATACCTTCCCCTTATATTAAGATTTGCTTTTGTGCAAAGCATTTTACACCTAACACTTCTATGTATACTACACTACGGTACTAACAACAACATTGCGCACCAAGATATGGTCAATTGGCCATAATTTGTTTAGTCGACAGCGAACGAAGTATATAACCTTATTTTGTATTTGCTTAAAAACAGCAGTAAATACAACTAATGCGTACAACTTATTGTACCAGCTACCCTCTTGCGCGGCAGCTTTGACACAGTTTTTGTTCTGAATTGCCGCTGTAGTAGTATACACAGAAGTCTTTACACAC